GGAAAAATGCTGAGGGAGAAGCAAACTTAAGTTTAAGTCCCCCCCTCCCCACCATCTCCCTCCAACCACGAGAGTCTCATTCATTCAAATTCTGACCATTCTTTTGAAGTCCTGGTCACTTGAGGACTCCCACAGACACAGGGGATGTCCATGCTAATCAACTTCTGTTTTTCTCTTGTTAGTTACTGTATTGCCAGTTTAATTTTCAGTGCCCCAGCCAGTAAGCAAGCTGACGGTAGGTAGAGGACAATAGAGAATATTTTCCTCCCCTACATTAAAAAAGAAAACCTGGGCATCAGTTATTATAGTATTTCAACTTTTATAAAATGTATAAATTTATTTATTTAATCATAGTCTCTTGGTAGGAAAACCATCTCAAATGAAAGAAAAAACAATCTAATATCCTCATCAAGAGAATCTTTTTCAAGGAAGAAGTACTAGTACAAATCAGTAATCTCCTGGGGAGAGTCAACAGAATTGTCCCTAAAGGTCAACAGCTAATCACTTAGCTCTCCAAAGAAGAGCAAACACGTGTGAGCTCTTGATCCTGTAAATACATACCTACATAAATAATCTAATGGGTACAATAATAATAAAGGACATGGCACAATAATAACGAAGGGAAACTATATTAAGTACATCAGCCATGTAAGGTCAATGGATATATTTACTTCATTAATAACAAATAAACAAACAAAACAGAGGAAAGCAGAACCTAAATTATCACAAAACTTTGATAGAAAAAGTTGAAATTACATAGTTCCATTTTCTTTTCTTCCTCTTCAGCTGAAATCTACCAGATGTCTCAGAAAGCATTTGTAACTTGAGAGTATAAATAAATGTTATAATGTCCTAAAGTTCTATTTAAATTAAAACACATTGGGCAAAAAAAGAAATGTTTTTACTCTTTCTATTTGATCTTCTGGTAGGTTAGAGGTATACATTTTAGCAAATGGTATTCCACAAGAAGCTCAGGCTGATTTTTATGTCGATGGTACTTTGATTGAAACTGAAATGCTAAGAAGGAAGTGGATCTGCCTTCCACGCCAGGAGATATCCCAGATGGCTTAGCACCCAGAATCTACAACGCTTCCCCAGTTCACTCTGACATTTCCTCCTCGGGAATCTTCTCCCAGCACGCTCCTTTTGCCCAGTTTCTAAGGCTGCATTCCTACTCAGCACTCACAGACCAATAAATGTCCCTTGAAAATGAACAGACTTTTCTTTTTTCTTCTTTGACCACTAGATCTCTCCTCCGACCTGAGCCCAGATCCCAGGAGATGTAGGTAGGTCAGGTCTGACCACTCATCTTCTAGTCACCAAATTAAGAGGCAAGAGAAAGGTCAGAGAATGACCGGCATGGCACGGGCTTGGTGCAGGAAGACAGAAATTCTGCCCATCTTCAGCCATCTTCAGGAAGCAGACATGAGGTGAAGTAGGAAGAATTGGGGTCAGACATGATGGCCAGAAGTGTCATCAGAGATGGTGACACCTTGTCATCTCAGGATTGATCAGCTGGGACTTTGTTCCATGAAGACTCACTGATGTCAGTCAGGTGTCCAGGCTCCGGTCTGCTCCTCCCTGCCTTCCAAGTATGCACAGGACAGAATGGCTTAGGACAAAGCACACACCCAGTGGAGAGATTTGGGATGCTTAGGTTTTTTTTATCCTGATCCCAGTTAATTTATGGGCCTGCAAGAGCAGTTTCTAAGCACTTTTTTATAAATGGGAAGCTTTGGATTATGGGGATTGTGGCGAAATCTCTTGCTTCATTAGAATGAAAATGCTTTTGGCAAAGCTCTGAGGCTTCGACAATACACAAAAGAACCACCCTGGACAGTGTTACCTATTAGTCACAAAACAAACGTTCATTGCTTCATGCTGAATAATAAGAATTAAGTGAGATTCCATACCAAAGTTTCTGAAATGTAGGCTTGGAGCTTGCCCTGTATAGGTAAACAGCTTCCTCTGCCCTTCTGTTTCATCTCCTTGATGCCTACTGTACCCTTATCCTATCTTAGTGTGTAAGCCCTGAGAGAACAGAGGCCTGGCCTCTCTTTCAATTGCTTGTCCCTCTGGTATCTAGCATGTGGACACCCAGACAGTGACATGTAACTAGTACTGACAAAGCCAGAACAATTACAGAACATGGATTGCTGTTGCTTCACTTAGAGGAAATCAGGTTTATGGCTACCTAGGGTGTTCTAGTTTTTTCAGTTGAAACCTGAAAGGCTGATGACTGTTACTTGGAGATACTGAGAAAATACCTTTTCATCTTTCAAGACATTCATTTTCAAGACATTTTAATCCCAATGGTAAACATGAGTTCACCCAGTAAACAGAAGTCACAATTGCCCGTAGTTATTCTCAGAAGGTGGACTGTGTACAAAACATCTTTCTGGGCATTAATGGATGAGCTGTCAGGAATGTACATCGTCTCCCCATGGGCTTTGTCCAACTTCCTTTTATTCAGTTCACTGTGACCTTGTTTTGTGACTGAGTTCCCCTAGGACAGCTGCTGATTTCCCATCCCTGATGTCAACACTGAGAAGAGGCAAAGAGAATATAAGATTCAGAAGCTCAAAAGCCTTAAAAATGTTTGCCTTAAGTGTCCTGGTTTTCCATCTTTTTTTTCTGCCAGTCCCAGGGCTAGAACTCAGGGTCTGGGCACTATCCTTGAGCTTCATTTGCTCAAGGCTAGCGCTGTACCACTTGAGCTGCAGCAATACTTTTTCTGTTTATGTGGTGCTGAGGAATCGAACCCAGGGCTCCATGTGTGCTAGGCAAGCACTCTACCACTAAGCCACATTCTCAACCCTGGTTTTTCATTCTTATATGTTTTCTAAGGGTCCCATATGCCATAACCTATTCCCCAAAGCAGTGCCTTGGTGGTAGCCTGTACATTAATGATGTGACTAGAACTTGCATGGTGTGGTACAAAGAGCACTGTTGCTCAGGGCTTTGTTGGTGAGACTCTGATCCCCTCCTGAAGAAGCTGAATGATACCAAGGATCAACTCCATAGGAAGATCCGCTTGTCGTAAAGTAAATGTTTCTTAGCCAAGTGTCGGATGTTTCAGGTACTTCCTTGTAGAAGGCACTTTTAATTCTACTGCTGAGGCAGGCTGAGGGCTTAAAGAGGAGTCAACAGTTCCTGGAATCCTATTATTAAGTCTGCCTGTCCCATGTACTTACAGTGAAAACTTGGAAACTGTGACATGGCCCTTCAGTCACATTCCTATCCAACATGTGAAAACACGGAAATGTGAGCGGAGCGTTGGTGGTTCACGCCTGTAATCCTAGCTACTCAGGAGGCTGAGATCTGAGGATGGAGGTTTAAAGCCAGCCTGGGCAAGAAAGTAGTCTGTGGAACTCTTATCTCCAATTAATCACCAGAAAATTGGAAGTGACGCTGTGGCTCAAGTGGTAGAGTGCTTGCCTTGAGCTGAAGAGCTGAGGGACAGCACCCAGGCCCAGAGTGCAAGCCTCATGATGGCCAAACAAACAAACAAACAAAAAACCCAAACACCTGGAAATGTGCTCACCACACAATGCTGAATGAAAACAGAAGATGCTTCCAGTGAAAAAAGATGTTGAAGACTCAACAAAATGTGCTTATACTTGTCCCTTCAGGAGCTTTTGTGGGAGCATATAATCTTTGAAATTCATAGAAGAACATTCGGCAGTCATCACTTCAGAAGTGTAAGAAATCAAACAAAACCCTGAGTGTGCAGGTGGGGGCTGGACGCGAGAGGCCTGCAGAGCATGCAGAATGCCTGCGGAGATACTCCTCAGCGCGGCTGAACGTCGGGCTCTAGACAAGAAGATGGAACCCACGGGCCCCTGTCTTGCCACCCATAGACAATGCAGCGCCGCTTTCAAAAGGAATATGACACCATGTTCTTATACTTCAGCATTTCAAATCTTTGGGTAAGAAATCCCATGTGCAAACTTAAGATAGAGAAAGAGCGAGAGGAAGGGAGCCTGAGCCTGAGTGGCTCACGAGGCATTACTTGTGCCAGAGTCTTTTGAGTAGTCACAGGACGGGGGCTTGCACCATCACAGGGACAGAGTGAAGATGAAAATGCACAAGACAGGTGTGCCTGCATTCTCTTTCCTTTGCTCAATGTCCCCAAGGAGGAAACAAACCCAAACAGACATGTAACGATTTAAATGCGTATAATAATATGCATAATTCTCAATAAAACAGAATACAATAAATGCAAAAATAGACCTAGGCTGCAAAGTACTTCTGTTAGATTGTTTCATGGTTCCTGAGTTACAGTTAAGAAGTGAATGCTTTTCTCTGAGTACTTTTTTTTTTGTTTTTTGAATATCATTTGTGACTGCATGCGCAATGATCTTGATACAGCAGTAGGGAAAGGCGAAAGACAGAAGAGTTAAAAGCATTAAAAATGTACGTTTCTTCACCTCAGTCACGTATGGGATGAATGTATTATGTTTGGTGTTTACGGAGGCATAAAGTACCTGCCAAATATTTACCACGAGCATTCTTCAGCTCGACGAATGCCAAGGCCACAGCTAGGAAATGAGGTAATGAGTGTTGACCAAGTGGGAGAGGTCTGGCAGAATGAGCCAACCAGAGCGCTGACTATTGAACCTTCTCAGGTTTTGTATAGAAACAAGATCTGGTGTGGAAATGCTCCAGAAAAAATGCTGCCAGAAACCACATCGGGTCAAACAAAGGGGAAAAGGAACTGTTCACAGAAACATAGTCCTTCCGTTTTGTGAGTGGTCAGCCACATTCCCAGTGGGGTCTGAAACAAATGTCAAGCTATTGGACAATCAGGAGGCTCAAGGAAACCCAGGATACCAGTTTGAAGTGTAGTACATTCAGGAAAAGCTGGGCGCTGTAGATTTAGCCTCCCAATTGCCAAAGAAGAGCATGAGTTCTTTTTCTCAAGAGAAAGATTTGTCAAAGTACATGAGTTAGGGCCAAAGGGAATGACTGATATGTGATACTGTGTAGAGCTAATTTGCAAAGAGTGGTAGTGTGTGTGTGAAGGGGTGTGTGTTATTCTTTTATAGGGGCCATGCTAATATTCTCTGTCTTGTTCCAGTTTCAGTATATGTGCTGCCAAAGTGAGCACAAGAGTGAATTTCTTTTAAATGTGCACTTATTCATGCTTGCCAAGTGTCTTCATTATTGGAAGGGTGGGAGAATGCAGTCATAACGTTCCATACACAGATGTAACAATGGAACGAGGAAAATGGAGGGGATGGGTAGGGTTGGGAGAGATGGAGGAGAATTATGTATATTTTTTTGGGGGGGGGTCCGGTTGTGGGGCCTGAACTCTGGGCCTGGGCGCTGTCCCTCAGCTCTTCAGCTCAAGGCTAGCGCTCTACCACTTGAGTCACAGCGCCACTTCCGGCTTTTTTCTTTTTGCTTATGTGGTGCTGAGGAATCGAACCCAGGGCCTCTGGCATGCAAGGCAAGCGCTTTTACCACTGAGCCACCTTGCCAGCCCTGGAGGAGAATTATGAAAGGCATGACATTGATCAAGATGCACTATACTCCTAAACTGACAGGTTGAAATCCCTTTGTATAACTAAAGACAGTAAAAAAAAAAAAAAGTGTGCGTTTATTTGTGTTTGCCAAGTGTTTTAGGTGTTAGAGTATTTTCAGAATAGAGTCTTTCAATTTTTCATAAAACAATGGGCTCTTCTAAATCCTAGAGTCAATGATCTGTAGTCATCTTCTAGTCTTACTTGTGACTTCTTCCTTGTAACCCCTCGCATGCTGAGAGGTAGAGAAGAAAGGCTTTTGTGGATCGCCTCGGATACTTCTTTACGTGTGCCCATCTTGGGTTGCAGTGGCCTAGAACAAAAGGAGTTGTACAACCTGAGTTTAAGATGGCGCTACTTTTCATGACCAACCACGTCTGGGAGCCTGGTTGGTGCCCCAGTAATGTCTAATATATTAACTTTTGCACCAGAAGGCACAGTTCCCACTTCTACACAGGCCAACCACGTTGTATAAAGGAACTCAGTGTACCCGGGGTGAAAAAAATTCTATCCATTGAGCAAGTGTGATGATGAATGGTGATTGACACCTGGGCTAATACAGAAAGAGAAGAACAGGACCCAGAGACAGCAGGCTTTGCCTTAAAGGGGCAGCCACATTCAGCTTCTATTGTGTGGGCCAAAATTTGCAAGCAGGACTGGCTGCCTGGGCCAAGATTGGAGGACAGGCTCTTACTGAGTAGGCCGCATACTGAGTTCCATGCTCTATGGCTGCTGTCTTGGAATGCCTAACAATTTTCTAATAAGAAGTGTCTGGACTTTGGATGTGCAGTAGATTCCCAGGATGTAATCAGTCTTTTGTTAAATTAGTGTCAGTTAGTGGGCAGGGTGTTTCCCTTGAACATGTGCGTTTATAGACATGATGCATCTTGACCAGTCACTTCTTCCTTCTTTCTCCCTCACTCTTCCCCAACCAGTCTCATCTACTTTCCCTGTTCTATTTCCACACATGCACACAGATTATTACCACTGTGTTTGTCCTCCTAAGCAGTCTCACCCCCCAAGTTCAGCTTCTGAATGTTCTTTCTGTTACATTGCCTGTTAATTGTTCAAAGGGATTTTTATCATGATACCCCACACCTAAAAATATTGTTTTTTAAGAAAAGCTCTACGTCTGTAGTTTTCCATGGAGATTACTTCCTTGGAAATATTCCAGTTTTTAAACATTGACCATTAAAAATTTTAAGCATAGTGAATAAATATGTCTACAAGCTAATGGATCAAGGTAAACAGATTTCAACCCAAAGACTGCCTCCATGATTATTCTAGAATCTTTGAAATGGAAACTGTGCCTTAGATGCAATTTAGTTATTTCTCTTACTCTCCAGATGAGAGGACAATAAAAAGAAATGAAGATAAAATAGAAGTTGTTGTGATTTATAATTCTCCACATAGGAGGCCTGTTGGGAAAGGCCTTGCTGTCCACAGGACAAATGTTTCAGTACTTTAATTTCTCAAGCAGTGTTTTAGCCAAGAAAGTGTCTTTTTATCTTCTGCTGACATGATTTATCCTCTGGGATTTTAAACCACTGTTGACTTTCTTTGACCATTTACACAGTAATTATCTGAGTAGTATCTTTTGGGTGAGCCAAGGGTTAGCAGGTTTTTAGGAGCTGGTCTACTGCAGGAAACACATGAGCAGGTCTTACCCAAGGATTATAGCTTTCCGACTGGGAAATGTCTTTCTTTACGCCTTTTTACATGCCACCAACTTTGAAAACATCCTATGTTCTATAAAAGGGGAAAATAGCATAAACAAATGCATACTTTTAATATCTTTTCTAGTTTAATATCTTTTATTTGTGCACACTAGAAATAAGTACTTTATTGGTTTATCATAAGAACTGCTCATGTTCATGGACTTTAATGTGTTGGACCAAGTGTGAAATGACCATTTCTTTTTAAATATCAAAGTATACATTTCTTTCCTTTCCTTTTCTTTTTTTTTTCTTTTTTTGTTGGTCTTGAACTCTGGGGCTGGGCACTGTCCCTGAGCTCTTCAGCTCAAGGCCAGAGCTCTACCACTTGAGCCACAGCTCCACTTCTGGGTTTCTGAGTGGTTTATTGGAGATAAGAGTCTCACAGACCTTCCTGCTCCAGCTGGCTTTGAACCAAGATCCTCAGCTCTCAGCCTCCTGAGTAGCTAGGATTACAGGCGTGAGCCACCAGTGCCAGGCCATTTCTTTGTTTTTAATGGCTCTATTCTATATATTTCCCTGTTTCCTGACTCCTGTGAGCTAAGAGTACTCTGGAGAAGCACTAGTAATTAAATATGGCCTTTGACAGATCCTGTTTGAGACAAAGAATAATTTTTTCTTTTTTTATTATTAATCCACTGTTCAAAGGAGTTGCAGTTTCTTAAGTCACGCCATGAGTACAATGCTTTTTGGTCAACATCACCCCTTCCATTGTTTTCTCCCTTTTCTTCCTCTCATTCCTAACTTCTGGTTCCACAGTTCTGTTTTTGCATAATGCCCACTGAATATAATGACTACACTTGCTCACTTTTCCTTCTTTCATTCCTGTCTCCACCTTTTGCTTACCCTCCAAAGCATGTTTTTGCTTCCTGGCTTTTGTTTGGATAAACAGTATGTTAGGTGTTCTGAGGAGTTACACCTTTGGCTCTCCAAGCCCACGTATAAGGGTGTCATCCTTTAGCCAGTTTGTTTGTGTGTAAATGCATTGAGCCCTGTATATGCCATCATGCATAGCTGTTTTTAGATCTAGCTTCCACATATGAGAGAAAACATGTACCATTTGCCTCGCTGAGCCTGGCTTACTTCACTTAACATGATTTGTTCTAGGTCCATCCGTTTCCTTGCAAAATGACATATTATTCTTTCTAATGGATGAGTAACATGCCATTGTAAATTTGGACCACATTTTCTGGGCTGTTTCCATAACCTAGCTCTTGTGAACAGAACAGCAATGAACATGAATGTGCTAGTGTCTTTACTGTATCCTGACTCGTAATGTGCTGGGTAGGTGCCCAAGAGTGGTAGGGCTTGGTCATGGGGAAGTTCTGGGTTTAGTTTTTTGAGGAATCTCCAAACTGCCTTCCAGAGTGGTTGTACAAGTTTCCATTCCCACCAACAGAAGGTATTTCTAATAGTGAAATTACACACTTTGAAGCCACTGGCTTCACAATTTCAACCCTGCAAGTTGAAAATTTTAAATTAAAAAAAATTACAGTTGGTTAAACTTTTTAATGGGTCAATCTGATCCCGAGATGGTTTAGTTGAAAAGTATCATCATGGAGTGACAGGTGTGCTTAGGGAAAGATTTAACAGAGCCAATGAAGATAAATGTCAAAAAACAAACAAATAATTTGAATAGAGTCCTCATTGCTGCCAGGGTTTCATTTAATTTGAGGCAAAACATTTCTTGGATGCTTATCTCTGCCTTGCAAGAGCGCTGGACCTACCCAGGGCTGTCTGTGCAAACCATCTTGTGTCCAGTTGGTGTCCAGTGCTACACTGCACTTCTCTCTCTCAGAGGCCCAGGTTGTGGAGGAAGGGCTGGGGGGCGGATGAGCGGGGTGTTTTGGGGATGGTGTGGCTGTTCTTTGTGCATCCATGGTGGCAGCCTGCCGGGTGGCTTGGCCAACAGTGCCTGTGTTTGCTCTTTTGTGGTCTCGTGCCATGTGGTGCCAGCAGTGTTCTGGCAGCTGTCACCGTCAGCAGGTGCTCCTAAAATACCAAGTAACCCTAGTAAGACAGGAGGAGGGAATAATGTTTGTGGTCACCTAGGCCCGGTGCCACCTCTTCAGAAGACATTGGCTTTTGTTATTTGTTTATTATTATTTTTAACCAAAGGGTGCCACCCTGCTCTTTGTGGTTCTTTGAAGACAGCAAGATTCCACTGCTTTTCTCTCTTCTGAAGAAGGATCATGTGTGAAAAAATAAATATTCCGGAGAGAATCAGAGGGAGCTGGACTGACTTGAAAAAGCCACATTGGAACGAACATATCAATACCACTGTCTAAGCACAGCAAGGAAGATGTAGTTTTCATTCTGAGAAATGGCTTCTATCCCCTGATAAAACAATGTGAACGGCATGGGAAGTCTTGCCACGCCCCGTGTGTTCTTCTGCAGGGATGTGTGAAGTTCACATGCAGGCCATAAGAAAGATGTATTTGCCTCCAGCCACCATAAGCAGACCCGAGTCATTGTTTGCCTGACCATCAAGGTCTTCCTACTTAACCCACAAATTTCAAAGTTGTGCCAGAAAAAAATTGCTGTATTCCAAAATGAGAATGACTGATACTATAACCTGAGATCATCAATGCTTCTACTGGACAGGTAATAGCATCAGGTTCAAAGCAATCTTATCCATATACAGTAAAACCTCATCTCCATATTGACTTCAAAACACTGAGTCAGTGAGTCATTTTTGGTCAAAACTTGATTTTGTATTTTTCTCCCACTTCATAATTAGCTTTAGAGCAAAAGAACTTAACCATTACACATGGTCCCCAAGAAATTAGATTATCCTTACACGTGCTATATAGGAAACTTTATTCATATAGAACCCTAGAATTTCTTTAAAATCTGAGAGAGTTCACTCT